GTGAGAGAGAGAGAGAGAGAGAGAGAGAGAGAGAGAGAGAGAGAGAGAGAGAGAGAGAGAGAGGGGTTGAGGGACTAAATTACAAAACGGTCTTTAGTAGCAGTTAAAAAAAACACATTATAAAAGAGGATCAATAACAACAACAACATCAACATACACAACAACAACAACAACAACAACAACTTAAACAACAACTACTGAAATGAAGTCCTGGAATCATTCGTGGGGAACGCTGACCAAGATGGCCCAAAACAGACAGAGCTGGAGATCCTTTGTTGCTGCCCTAAACGCCAGATGGCATAATGGGTATTAAGAAGAAGAACTTAAACAACAACAACAACATAAACTATATCAACATACAAATCACCATTCATCACAATAATGACAATGACAATGATCAAGTTGCTGCTGTCATCAGTCTCAACTATTATCCAATTCAATCTCATGATCCTCTTCATCACAACCCAAAACAATTTTAAACTACATGTATTATAATTGGTCGCTTTTAAGGACAAGAGAGCTAAACCAGATCTCGGGGGTTTCCAGAAATCTCGACCTACTCAAAAGTGGGCATTGCGCTACCTATAGGAGAAGTTTGGTTTCATTGGTGTGTATATTTGTTTGATAATAGAGAAAACTCTCTTTGTCTTATAAAGATACTGAACAAGGGGCAAAAACTTTACCTTCAATTTTCTCAAAGCAGTATTTTTCGGGCTAGCCCCCTTGTGCTTACAAGCGAGACCAATTATTGTCCTCATATCCTCAACAGACGAACGATCCAACTCTAGATGGCCCAGCCTCCTCCATTTTGCCGCCGACTTGAACCTCCGCACCTTGTGCTCGGAGCTGCTGCGCTACCCTGGCATGCTGGGTGCCGCGTGCACAGAGAATAGAGACGGCTTCTACCCCAGCCAGTTAGCGGCTAGGAAAGGCTACGCTCAGCTGGAGACTGATCTGCTGCAGTTTGTGCAACGTTGTAAAAGTGAGTGGATGTGGATGTAGTTCTACCTACAGTAGAAATTAATTTATTGTCCAAGAGACGGCCAACTGGCGTCGAGGAGGAGAAAAGTGTGGTCATCTCAGACAGGTGTATGTCTTGAACAAGTTCGTTATGATACACATACACATACACACACACACACGCACGCGCACGCACACACACACACACACACACACA